GGGCCTCCTTTTCTCCTTCCCCCCCCCCCCCCCACACACACACACACACACACACACACACACGTCCCCATGGTGCTTACGGGCTCCTGTCTCCATTGTTCCGCTCCCTCTGCCCAACGACAGGCTGAGCCCTGTGTGATGACAGGCTGAGTAGATGCCAGGGGCTGGGAGAGACCAGAGGGGCAGGGAGTGTGGGTGTGGCCTGAGCCCATCCCTGGTGCCACCTGCACGGGACGGGCCAGGGCGGGGCGGGGCGTGCTGAAGCAGTCGGCCTAGCCAGCTCTCGTCGCTCTCAGCCACCCTGGCTGCTGGTCCTGCCCTGCCTCTGTCTGTCCACACTAGCTTGCTCCATCCCTCCCTTCACCCCGGGTGGACACAGGAGCAGCATCAGTCCACTCAGCACAGGCCCCGCTCTCCGCGGGTGCAGCCCAAGCCTCAGAGGCTGGACCGCGCACCAGGGGTCCATGTTCGCTTTCTTCCAGTCTCCTCGGGTGTCCTGCATAAGAGGCGGCCATCCCGGCTGCCGCAGTGCAGGGGCCAGTGGCAAATAACCCGGGGATGGCCTACGTGGGGAGGGAGTCCATCCCTCCTCCTGAGGCTGCGGCGGAGGCCCAGGGGGAGTTTTTCCACAGCAGGGTGTCTGGAGAAGCAAGGTGCCGCCTGCCCTTGGCAGAAGCTGACCGCACGGTCGCAGGCCCCCGGTGGCTGTGCTCCTGGGCATGGCTGCCCTGCTGGAGGAGGCCATGACCAGAGTGTCCCCAGATCCCCTGTATCACGCCGCAGAGGTGAGGGCGCCCTCTGGCCAGGGTCTGCCCTTCAGTGTCATGCCTCACCGGGGAACCTCAGCTGAACTCGGCCCCCGCCCACCCAGGCCCCCACCCAGCAGTTACTTGTTTGGGGGCTGCCCTTTCCTACCCCCATTGCTTCCAGCTGGTGTTCTGTTTCCCATGCACCTGCTCAGTGGCTGTCCTCCTTGGTGGCTCCCCTGCCCTGGTGTCTCCCTTCCCCTGGTGGCTCCCCCACTGTGGCTGTCTTCCTGCACTCAGCTGAACTCGGCCCCCGCCCACCCAGGCCCCCACCCAGCAGTTACTTGTTTGGGGGCTGCCCTTTCCTACCCCCATTGCTTCCAGCTGGTGTTCTGTTTCCCATGCACCTGCTCAGTGGCTGTCCTCCTTGGTGGCTCCCCTGCCCTGGTGTCTCCCTTCCCCTGGTGGCTCCCCCACTGTGGCTGTCTTCCTGCAGTGGCTCTCCCCTCCCTCCGCGGCTGCGCCCCCCGCCCACCCCTGTGGCTCTCCTCCTGTAGTGGCTCCCCTCCTGTGGCTCCACCCC